TGGTCGTCGCAGTTGCTTGACTGCTGCCGAGGCAGAGCGCCAGCCACTCGTACATACGCACCGCTTGTTCGACGGCCGGTCGGAGGAAACCGGTTGCGTGAGCTACCGACCGACCGACCGACCGACCTGCGTGCATTCGACCAAGACCGTCGGTCGGTTCTTCGTTTATCTTCGTTTCTCTGCCCCGGAACTTGACGAGCGAGTGACGTCGAGTGACAGACAGCCGGGACGGCTTTAGCAACAGTCGCATGGGCGTTCAACATTTGACTCCTCATCGACCTGCCTCGGTTAAAAAAGTCCTTCACATTGAAACAAGCGATCATCAGTGCAATTCACTGTGCCACGGTAACGTAACACACTGAGCTTTCAATGTTTTACTTATTTATCATATTTTATAACGTTGTTTATTTGAAAGATTTGGGTAGACTATTTACATTCACGACCACCTCACCGCGGGAAGACAGTTTTTATCAGGCATGCACCACCTGGACGGAGAATGAGACTCGTGTGCTGAACGATCGGAAGCATGGCCAACTGCAGATGAACAATAACAGGAAGTGAAGAGAAAACAACATCACTCACGATTACATCAATGGTGAATTCCAGGGAAATCCAGAACAATTATATTTTTTGAACCTGCCAATTATATGATCATTCCTCTGAATGGAGGATTGCCTCACCGCTATCGATATATAAATGAGCAACGTAAAATCTGATTTGACAGCATTTAACAATCTGTGCGGATTGAACCTGTCTGTAGTGATTAAGAAAGCTGAATGTAATGGCAATACTCTTTACAGTCCAGGCTGTCTATGCAGTTGTCCTCCGCTGGGATGACCGTAGGAATGCTATCTCAAAAATGACATTTCTTCACAGAATTGACTTCGTAATGAGGTTCGACAAACTTCACTCAGAGCCCAACAATTCGAAACTCGCATCTTCACTTTATCGAGAGATCACAACTGCGACGGTTTTGACTTGTGATCGGAACAACACAAGAAGGACAAGCAAAGTTCGCTCTTAAGGTGCAGCAGCAACGAAAAAGACTCGATACACCAAAAGACTCGATGGCCTCAAAGAGCTGTCATTGTTTCGAACTAGAAATATGACACTCAGCCAAGCCATTTGACTCGAAATGGCACCATTGCTGAAGCGCACTGAAGCAACGGACAGGAACCGGAAAAAACAGCTGGTCCGGATAAAAAATTAACTCTGAATGAATGAATGAACAAATGAATGATGAGTAAGATCTCTCGAATAATTGAATTCCCGACCATGCCGAATAGCGTCAGCTCTGCGATTCGTCTCAGTAAGCCTCAATTGTACCTGAGGTCGAAGTATTCGCATACGATTTACCACGATTCGCATACGATTTGAGGATAGTGGTGAAGGGTGACTTCAGCACATGTAGCTGAATCGTCAGACTCAGCTCTACTTTGGTCATCAGGTAGAAAATGATTTGTGGGCAGATGGGTGACCATGTGGCGTGGTTTGGTTTCTTGATGACGATCTGTTGGTGCCTCCGTCTTGGTCATCCCGTCCAGAATTTTTGGTAATTTAGATCTTCATATGAAACTTTATTTTTATAGGCTTTCTCGATTCTCCCATATATCATTCGACATGCTGTTCCTACGGGACCAGAACACACAAAAATGAAAGAGGAATAAGATATAATCATCGATATTCGAGTTATTGCAATACGTGTTTCTGCACCACCCAGCAGAGTGGTGCTTGTTGTATGCCAAATCAACTGTAGGTACTAATATACTATGAACCTGGTCCGCATAAACGGTCCTCTAGGCAACTTGAAGCGAAGGAACGGCGCTTCGCCGTGTAAATCCTCAGGAATGACAGGAAAATGTCATTCTTACCAGCGGTAGTGAAAGGTAGCAGTATTGCTAGCAAGCGCATAATAATAAGAAGCGGTTATGTACCTCATTTTGGTCATCTTCGTCTACCGTTGATTGTTGGCATGCCAGCCGTTTCAAGCTCGAAATGCCTCGTCCTTTAAAACGGAAAATTATGGCTCCACAGCTTCGATGATCTTTAAGCTGTTGTTCAAAAACCTAGCTTCTATGTCCTCATAAACCTACATCTTGCGAAAGTGTAAAATCCTTGGTTAATTCGAGTCAATCTAACAGCAACAACCGATGACAATCACCATCTCTCTTTCAGCGAAGCCAAGCCGTGTAACATTTATAACACGCAAGCACTGCAAACTCAACGCTTCATGTTACATGCACAGAGTTACAGGTATTACGGTCAAAACGAACTTTCTTTGAGCGTACGTTGCACAATACTCCAAAAATAGCGATTAACACTGCCTTGTGACAACCCTGCGACAATCTCATTGATTATCATCCTATGTATTAACCTTCATGCACTACACGATGCCATTATAATTATATTATTATTCTAATATACCATGCAAATGCATCAGCAGTCATTTTTTCAGGCATATTCACATGCATTCTCAAGGCACTAATGCGCTCACTGAGATCAGTCCCTAGAATAATGACCTCTCAAATAATGATCTCCTGAGATATGTCATTGATTTACGTATGTCAATGACATGCCACATCACGTCCATCAGTAAGAATATCTTGGATAATAGCATTCATCCACTGTGTGACAGACTCTCGCGACATCTGTTGCGAATGCCATCAACTCGATAGACGTATGTCAATGCGATTGTCAGAATGTATCCATGTATATTAATGATCAAATCAATGATCGCAAACTCAACGTGCTTTTTGCGAAGTCCCAATGACGTTAAACAACTATACTTGAATATTTTCAATGTGACAAGGCTTTCAATTTCCTTCGATTAACTTTACTTCGTGGTTCTGTTTCAAAGGTGGTTTGTTTCTTTATTCGTCATTTGAGCCTGAAAGTTCTATTCTGTCTTGAGATATGTATATTAATTTAACATTTTCTTTAAAATTTTCTTTTGCTAAAAAATGGAATTCGTCAGCGATTTCATTCGAGCAGTAACCTTTCAATCATGCATTTAATTTTTGTCTTGAATGCCGCTGAATTTAAGATTAGACCACCAATAGAAGAAAAAACAAAAACTTACATAAACAACGGAAAATACAGTTCTGGAAAAGTTCAAAACAGGCCTATCGGAGGGTAGGCAGACTAAGCAAACCACTAAATTA